TGAATCACTGATTACAACACTATCGGTGTTTCGGGGGAGCAGTGGTGCCGGTTACGTTGGTCATGATAACGTACTTGTGTTTGGGGAAGCGGCGGTGACGATGATGACGATGATGACGATGGTGATGACAACGATCCCGGTGCCTATTGGAGCAGCTGTGACGATGATGACGATGATTACGATGGGTTAGCACACGAATTCGGTACATAATTGCACTTTCATATATAGAGAAAATCCATTTTCTTGGATAGAAGAATTGTAATGACATATTAGAATGATCTCCTCGTAAAGAAATATGCCCGCTACGCAAGGAATGCGACATCACGATGTAGATTTCACAATAACATACGGAGAATACATTTTCCACGTTAGATGGCGCAGTGACCCTCAGTCAATGTGCTGCAGCCACAGTATTAGCAGCCGCATAGTTGCGTAATGCGATGCCTTATTGTGTGAGTGCTTACAATTGGTGGTAGAATTGCAGCTGAAAGATAAAAATCATGTTTACACTGTAGATATAAATGGTAACAATTATGTCTCGGGCATTCGATGGCAATGGTTAGGAATGTGTGTGCGCGTGCACGCGTGCGTGAATACATGCGAGACCCTTTGCATACATGCGTTCGATTTCGTGCTTCCGTGCTTATCATATCCCTAACCCTACCCTAACCCTAACCTTAACCCTAATCCTTACCGTAACCCTAACCCTTACCCTAACCTTAATCCTGTTGCTAACCCTAACCTTAACCCTAATCCTTACCGTAACCCTAACCCTTACCCTAACCTTAATCCTGTTGCTAACCCTAACCCTATCCCATCCCTAACCCCAAGTCTAACCCTAACACCCAAACACTCAAACCCTAATACTAACTGGTTGCTGGGTGAAGGGCCACACTGGCAGGCCTAGCAGGAGCTCATCTTGAGATTCACTCGTTGGTGCTGGAGAGCGCGATTTTAAGTATTTTACAACACAAGAAGTAATTTTGTAAATTAATTTGTTAAGGAATTAAACGAGCAGCTATCCATTATTAAGTAAAATGTGGTTTTATTAGGTTTAATGAAATCACTGGCGCGCTTTAATGCCGTATTATGTCAGTGTGGGGATTAATGTATCATGTGGATTGTATATTCCGCAATTCGGATAATTGCTTAATTGTAACATGCCAGATTGGAGAGATGTAATAGTATGCAGTGTGAGGCAGTGAAATCTAATTATGCCCGGTTTTATTGAAAGACATGTGAAGATAATTAATTGTGTGGTAGTATACGTTGTGTATTGTATATTAGTGTATTGTATTGTAATTAATTGTGTGGTAGTATACGTTGTGTATTGTATATTAGTGTATTGTATTGTAATTAATTGTGTGGGAGTATACGTTGTGTATTGTATTGTAATTAATTGTGTGGGAGTATACGTTGTGTATTGTATTGTAATTAATTGTGTGGGAGTATACGTTGTGTATTGTATTGTAATTAATTGTGTGGTAGTATGCGTTGCACTGTGTACATGTTGCACCGGTAACCAGAAATCAGGCCACCTCTGAGAAAGGTAGCATTGTTGATGTTTGTGAAAATATATATAATAATTATGGTAAAAATTTACATGTATTAAATGTACACACACACGCGGGCTCCCGCCTGCCCGCACGCACGTATGCACTTGCGCACACACGGCCACATCCATGGTTATTGTCAATAGCATATGTATGTGTGTGTGCTTGTGGTTGTGGTTGCATGCGTGCTTGCGCGTGTGTGTGGCTGTGTGTGCGTTCATCGGTGCGTGCGTACGTGTGTGAGTGCCTGCATTCGTGCATGTGTTTATGATGGTATATTTCCAGGCCGTGTAATAACAACATACTTGCATCTTTGGCTTACAGAGGGCGCCACCCAGCCAAGCAGCAGCAGCAGCATGGACAACAACAATGAGCTTGGTGACAACGTGACAGCATCCGACCACGAGGACACTCCGCCCGTCACCAAGAAGCCGCGTGACAGTGACCCCGCGACCCCCGCGACCCTACCACCGGTCAACGGCATCACCGCCCACCAAGACACGGGTCGCCATGACAACGACGCAGACGACGACGCAGTGACCGACGAGACGCCAGAGCCTCTGGTGGTGGCAGCCGAGGAGGAGGCGGCTGAGGAGAGCGGTGCGGCGCCCGGTGGTGGCGCCCCCGTGGAGAACGACCTGACGGAGGCGGACCGCACGTCGCCGGCTGCGCGCACGGCGCCCGACGCCGACACAAACGTAGAGGGCGCCTGCGAGCCTGCCTGCGATTCGCCAGCGACAACGGCGGCGGCCATGGAAGCGGAGAGGGTGCTGTCGGGTCACGGCGCGCTGCACGTGAAACAACAAGTGCACAGGCCGTCGCGCGAGACGCTGATCGACGAGCCGACGCCGCCAGCAGGGGACGCCACCGCGGCACCGGCGGGACGCCGCTACCCGGGGAAGGTCATCGGGTCGGTGCCGATCGCGGAGTACGAGCGGTCGCCGCGGCGATATCCGAACGCGCGTCCGCTGCCGCTGCAGAAGCTGCTGCGAGAACTCTACCTCGATGACGCGGCGCCGCTGGCGGCAACCGTCGCGCGCGATTCCCCTGTCTCATCGTCGGACGGTGACGACGGCGCCCTCTATGGGGAGGCAGACTCGTACGTGGGCGCGCGGCTGGCGTGCGCGCGCTCGGCCGACAGCGCGAGCAGCATCGCCGCACGCAGCGACGACGCCGACGACGCTAGCGACACCTGTGGAGAAACTCCCGCGGCCGCCGTCGCCGCGTCACCGCTGCGCGGCGTGGGGTCGCCGACGGACGACGGCGAGGGTGCTTCGCCGACGCGCACCTACAGGGGGCGCTGTAGGGAGGCGAGCGGCGGCGGGGCGGGGGAGACGAAGATTATGGAGTTTGTGGGGAGCGGTGATGAGATGACGGAGTGCGACGGGGACAGTGTGGATGTGGAGAGTGAAGCCATGTGTGACAATGAGGTAGGTGATGCGGAAGTAGTGGTAGTAGTAGAGCAGCCCCAGCATTCCGTGGCACCGTTATATCTCTGCATCCCTGCATCCCTGCATCGTTATATCCCAGCATCCCTGCATCCCCGCATTGTTATATCACTGTATCCCTGCATCCCTGCATTGTTATATCCCTGCATCCCTGCATTCCTGCATTGTTATATCCCAGCATCCCTGCATTCCTGCATTGTTATATCCCAGCATCCCTGCATTCCTGCATTGTTATATCCCAGCATCCCTGCATCGATATATCACAGCATCCCAGCATCCTCCTGCATCCCTGCATCGCTATATCACAGCATCCCAGCATCCTCATGCATCTCTGCATCAATATATATATCACAGGATCCAAGCATCCTCTGGTATCTCTGCATCGATATATCACAGCATCCCAACATCCTCCTGCATCTCTGCATCGATATATCACAGCATCCCAGCATCCTCCTGCATCGCTGCATCGATATATCACAGCATCCCAGCATCCTTCAGCATCCCTGCATCCCTATCTCTCAGCATCCATGTATCATTAAACCCCGCCATCCTATCTACTCATGCACCAGTGCATTCCTTTATCCCTGCATCCCAGCACCCCTGCAGCCTCACATCCTTCCCACATCCCTATATTGCCTATCCCCTTTATCTGAATTGCTGCTCCCAGCTTTCCAGCATCCTCGCATCCCCTGCATTGGTAGAATGGCTGGGAACACCACCACTGCGACAACAGCATAGGTAGCGCCCGACGTCCTGTGCGTGCATACAACACAGCCATGAGACCTGGTAGCATGTATCAGTGTTTAGGCAGCCAGCCAGCCACTCTATCAGGTGTGATGGATACTCATCAATATATCATGACATAGCTAGTGAAGCTCTGGGGCATGTGTGGGGGGGGCGATAGAGGTGCGTACATCGTGAGTGTCTGCACGCACGCCATTTACTGGTATGGGGAGAATTTATGATGCGCGTTGACATTCGGCTACACTCGGTGAGTTTATCATCGACCCTCTCTGCTTTACGGTCACCATGATGTATCTGAAACGCCCGCATGTTCGTCGGTTTGTCGGTTTGTGTGGGTGTGATGGGTATGGGTAGCTAGTCAATGAAAAACCTGACACGTGTTCACGTTCCTACAATAGTCAGAGTGTGTGTACATACATACATGTGCACGTGTATGTACACGATTGTACATGTATATATATACAGATGTGTACGTGTGCAAATGTAATTGTATGTACTATATTTCCTCTCCCATGGTGGAGGGATGGCTATGCGTCTGCTGCCTAGAGGGACAGCTTGTCATCTTGTGTATGTGTCTGTATGTACACGTATACAAATGCAGGTGTATTATACATAATCAGGTGTATGTACACAGTTCTCTGATCCTGTGTACGTGTCTGTATGTGCACGTATGTACACGTACAGGTGTATTATACATATATATACAAGTGTGCGCACACATTTCTCTGATCCTGTGTATATGCCTGTATGTACACGTATACATATACAGGTGTACGCACACATTTTATCTGATCATGTGTACGTGTCTGTATGTGCACGTATACACGTACAGGTGTATTATACATATCAAGAGCTCATAATAGAGAGATAGTAGATCTCTATTATGAGCTCTTCATACATATACAGGTTTATGTACACGTTTCTCTCACCTGTGCAGGTGAGCGCGATCACGGGTGGCTACGCGTCAGCGATGCCCGTCCTCGAGGATGGTCTCTCCAGCGGTCACGTCAGCGACACAGACACGGACGACGACGACGACGAGGGTGGTCGCACGAGCCCCGCACCACCACCACTACCCGAGTCCCTCACCACACTGCTCATGCGCAAGCAGATCACCGAAATCGAGAGAGAAGTAGCCGACCGACTGCTCGCCGATCGAGGGAGCGTCGAGAGCGAGGGTCGATCGAGCGATGGGGTCACTGCGACAGAAGGAGGCGGCGGCGGCGGCGGCGGCGATGGCGGCGGAGGAGGAGAAGGAGGAGGAGGAGGAGGGGAACATTATTATCATAATGAGAACCCGGAGCATCAGAGCTACCAGCAGGTGAGTGAGTCGCGCTGCGGTTTGCTGGGATTCCGAGGTCGTAGAGTAGCCGCGTGCGTGTGTGCGTGCGCTGCGATTGTGTTTCTGTGTGTGTGTGTGCTGTGTGTGGTGTGTGCGTGTTTGTGCGTCATGGTTGTTTGTTTGTGTGTGTGACGCGCGCGTGTGTGTGTGTGCGTGTGTGGGTGCGTGCGTGGGTGCGTGCGTTGCGTGCGTGCGTGCGTATGTGTGTGTGGCGTGTGAATTGTGTGTTTCTCAATGTAGCCACTTACTTTGTTCTATTTACAGTCAATGCTATCTCTGCCTCTTTCCAAGTAGAATTGAGTGTAGTAGTGTTTGAGAGAGAGAGAGATAGATAGAGCGTGTGCGCGCGTGAGAGAGAGAGAGAGAGAGATAGAGCTGTGCGCGCCGCGAGGAGAGAGAGAGATAGAGCGTGCGCGGCGGGCGCGGAGAGGGGAGAGAGAGAGCGAGCTGCAGAAAGGGCGTAGAGTGATAAACACCATTAGAGCAGAGAGAGAGAGAAGAGAACGAGAGAGAGAGTGAGAGAGATAAGAGCGCGCGCGCGTAGACAGAGAGAGGGAGCAAGAAAGGGCTTAGAAGTGATAAACAGCATTAGAACGAGAGAGAGAAAGAAGGAGACAAGAGAACAAGAGAGAGTAGGAGCGAGAGAAAATGATTCACCTCATTACTCGTGCAAAATAAAAACGGGAAACAGAACCTTTTTCTGTCAACGAAGCCCCATCTCTCTCATCTCTCTCTCTCTCTCTCTCTCTCTCTCTCTCTCTCTCTCTCTCTCTCTCTCTCTCTCTCTCTCTCTCTCTCTCTCTCTCTCTTCTCTTCTCTCTCTCTCTATCTCTCTCTCTCTCTCTCTTCTCTCTCTCTCTCTCTCTCAGTCTCTCTCTCGCTCTCATTCCTCCTTCTTCTCTCCTCTCGCTCTCTTCTCTTCTCTCTTCTCTCCTCTCTCTCTCTCTCTCTCTCTCTCTCTTTTGTATGCTGCAGTGTAGTCGTGCCTAGCACTATGCTCATCTCTCACCGTGCTCGTTGTGGTTGTGTGTTGTGTTGCCAGGTGCAGAACTCACAGCATTCCTACTCTTGCAGCCTGCCTCCTTCTCGTGTGGTAATGGCTTCACGGTCGACAAGGGCTTCGCAAGGAGTGAGAAGGATCGCCAGCCATCCGGTTATCCACGGCATCTGCCGTTCAGACTCAGCGTCCTGCCCAAATCGTCATGTCATCCCGCGTTACCTGCAGCCATCCGGTTTACCCGGCAACCAGTTCATGACGCAACATCCCATCAGATGCAGCATTCTTGGTCATATGCAACATCGAGGTTATTCCCAGCATTCCGGTCATGTGCAGCATTTTGGGTTATCCACAGCATCCGCGTTGTTTATCTGCACAGTGGGATTCGCTCCCAGTCGGTAGCAACAGGTCAGGATTTCTGGAGCCACAACTCTCGTGGCTTTGCGATTCTTCTACTTCTGGGAGGTTGTTTTCTTCTCACACTTCTCCAGGTTTTTTCTTCACACTTGCTCCACGGTTTTTTTTCTCACCGCTCAGTTTTTCTCTACACGACTCAGGTTTTTTCACCTCACTTTCAGTTTCTGTCAGTGCACGATCTTCTAGTGTTTTTCTTCTCACACTCCATGGTTTCTTTTCTTCCACACACCAGGTTTCTTTCTGGCATATTTTGTTCACAGGCTGTCTGGTTTAGGGGAAACTTGGTTCTGTGGAGCGTTTTGGTGACGGTGATGATAATGGTGGTTGTTGCGCTGTTGTTGTCTGTTTGATGTTGTTGCTGTTGGTGTTTCTGCTGCTACTGGGGGATGGTGGACGGTGGTGTTGGTGGGTGGTGAGTAGTGGTTTTGGCGATAACCCCGACACTAATGGCAATGTCGGCTGTTATTCACACGTTCAAAATACCGTAATACCAGGGACCCGATGTTGGAAACAAAATTAATCTTAACGTTGACTTTTCTCGTTGACCGTCGACAGAAACATGGTAATGTTACGAGTTACGAATTTCTCATGCGCTGTGTATAGACGTCCGGTCTACGAGAAAGGGTGAATGTTAAGACTAATGTTAGGACTAATGTTTTTTCTTTGAACAGGCCAAGTACATCAATAGAAAGAGAGAGAGGGGGCGGAGAGAGAGAAGGGGGGGGGGAGAGAGTGAGAGAGGGAGAGAGAGAGAGCAGAGAGAAGAGCAGAGGGGAGAAACAGAGACAGTGACAGAGACAGCCGACAGAGAACGCAGAGACAGAGAACAGGACAGAGACAAGACCAACGACAGGAGACAGAGACAGAGACAGAGACAGCGACAGAGACAGAGACGAGACAGAGGACAGAGACAGAGAAGAGACAGCAGAGAGAGAGAGGCAGAGATGAAGAGAGAGAGAGAGAGAACGAGAGAGAGAGAGGAGAGAGAGAGAGGAGAGAGGAGAGGAAGAGAGAGAGAGAAGGACGATTTTAGAGAGATGAGGCGAAAGAGAGAGGTATACTTAAAACAACATCTGCGATAATACTAATAGCGTTGCTGATTCTGATATCTTAATATGATCGAGATATTGATGAAACATCTAAACACGCCAGCACCCTGCAGCTCGTCCTCTGAATCAGGGACAATCTTATGGGCAGTCTTACAGACTTATTAGCAACGAGCACGGTTCGTTCTCAAATTACTATCATCAGCGCTATCATCATTGTCGTCGTCATCATCATTATTATTATAATCATCATCGTCATCATCATCATCTTCTTCACCAACTTTACATACTATCGATTGCTACCGGTTTAATACAACATGTTATTATTGCTGCATAGGGTCATGTCCCCAGCGCTCACTGCCGAGAACGTACCCTGGGTACGGTCCGGTATACCGAAACGTTACCCCTGGTCACTATTTGACTATGAGTCTAGGGTTGGGATTAGGGGTGTAGGTTGTAGTGGTTCGGGGTTTCGGCTTAGCGGTGAGTAGGCGTGAGGCGACTTCCCTACTACTCGTTAGTTGGAGTTAGGCGAGGTACGGTCCGGTGCATATAATAGTAGATAGACCAGGGTTTTACGTTCCGGTACCCCACCGTACCCCAGGTACGTTTTCGGCAGTAACCCGGGTGAGGTGAGGACGCTCTCCAGGCGGTTATTTTTTGGGGCATTATATATCTCGAACTCTTGGACTGTGTGCGAGACATCACGCGGAGCCGGGCCCAGTGCTATTCGTGCTGTTTCTCCACCCGCCTCCCCCCGTCCAACCTCATAACCTTATAAAGATTATTTATTCAATGTCCAAGGGAATGTACCAAAGGAGGAGAGAGGCAAGGTTGATCAAATTGATTGATCAACAATGATGATTATAGTATACTGAAAAGATTGGCAAAGGTGTGAATGGCTTAATGGTAAACTGGTTTAACACAATGTCACAATACTAGGAGAAATTTAGTTGTTGGATGCCATTAGACAAGATTTTGTGTGGGGTGCACTCAAAGTAACATATTTTGGACATGTATTATGATATGTGTATTTATTAGACAGTTTGAGAGTAGACTAAGTTAGAATTTGGTACGTTTTCATGCTACCATATATTTTCTATTTTTGTTGTCAGGTTGCTGTCTCATTACTGTTTGCTACCTATGGTTTTCTGTAGTCATGTGATGACAGTTCTTTAGTCGCTGACGGGTCGTGTCATACGGGTCGCTGGTCCTACGGGGTCGTTGGTTTCGTGTGCACGCAGGCACACGTAATTTTTTCTTTTAAATTTTTTTTTTAGAGGTTAATTTTTTTATTATATAATTTTTTTTTAAATTCAATTGTTAATTTAAGAAATAAGTTAGTGGTTTAGTTTAATTTCATTTTTTTTATAAATTTTTAAATTTACCCAGCGACCAATTGTCCTACGGTGCACGATATCAAATATTACCGCTGATGCACCATCTAACTTATAAAACATGAACTACTAACAGACTAAAATAATCCTTACTGGTCCAAAAATATACACCAGTCGTACTTTACACAGCAGCTGGGACTGCCTGTGTACAGTGCTACCGATGCTCCCACAGCACTTCTCTAGCAACTGGTGTATCGTTCACCCAAGGCGGATGAAATTATTTTGAGGTTGAATGACACCTAGACCAAAAACATAAGGAAAAGAATTTTTTTTTTGGATCCCGTGGGGTATTGTACCCCCTTCTCCCTGGCGGCCTCCCCACGCGCCCCACGCCCCGCCCCGTCCCCTGCGCCTCACGACCAAAACGAAGCAATATCTCCAGATCTCCCCTCCCGACCAGCTTCCATTGGCCTTCCAGTCGGCGTCGTGCTTCTCCGCCCCCGCACTTATTCAGCTCATTTGCACGACTCAGGCCCGCTTATGGCCCCGCCGTCCGGCCTCGGTCCCCCGCCGCTAAACCCCAACCAACATAGCCCCCTACCAAATGTAGTCTTTCCACCCACACAGCTCCATACCCCGACTCTCCCCCAGACCGGCGTCACGCCTTCCGGCCTCTGTTGAATGAAATTTTTTGTGATAAGGTCTCTGAGGTGTGACCTGAATAGTAATAGATTTTTTATTTTTTGTTACGATAGATAGATTGGATAGCATGATAGATAGATAGATAGATAGTAGATCGATAGATAGATAGGATAGATAGATAGTAGGAGGGTAGATAGATTAGATAGATAGATAGATAGATAGATGAGATAGTAGATGATAGATAGACGTAGACCGGTCAATGGACACTGAAATAGTTTAAGAATATTTTCTTTTTATTCTTCTCTCAATTCTGTTGCGTGCATACTTCAATCATAGCTGAAAAGCCAATACATAATAAAATTTTAAAAAAAAAACTTTTAAGAAAATTTAAACAAATACAATTAAAAATTTAAATAAAATTTAAAATTTTTTTTTAAAAAAAGTTTAAAAATTGTGATTTAAAAAAAAAAGGTCATTCACTCTCCCTTTACTAATAACGTAGACCAACGACCGTAGCGACCAACGACCCGTAGGACCAACGACCCATAGGACCAACGACCCGTAGGACTATAGATCGGTTCCCGTCTATGTATTCCATTCAAAACCATATTTTACATTTATAAATGATTATTTAGTGGACAAATTGATAGTAGACAAAGTGGGAATGGGGTAGATTTTAAGTGTAGACGAATTGGGAGTAGGCGATATAGGTGTAGGCCAACCGGGCATAAACCACTTATATAGCATTAGAAGTGAAGCACGCTAACCACTCAGCTTCTGGGACTTTCTTTAACGCTCGCAGGATAGATCAGCTACAGTTGCGTAAATAACTAGCTGATCAATCTTCATCATCGTCGTCCTTGTAGCAAAGATGTACACCGATCTCATGCCATTATCCTAATAACGGTAAACCGTATAGAACATAATACATTTATATTTTAAAACGTTCCCGTTTTCGAACGCGAATTTCGAGGTGCCGTTGCCATGGCGACGTGCCGAGCGCGTGTGCGTGCTTATGCTGCTGCCACTTTTGTTGCTGTTGTTGCTGCTGCAGCAGCATCTGCTGCTGTTGCTGCTGCTACCGCGGCCGCTGCTGCTGCGGCTCCCGGCGCCGCCACCGCCGCTGCTACTGCTACTGCTGTTGATGCTGCTGTTGCTGCTGTTGCTGTTGCTGCTGCTGCTTCTGCTGCTGCTACTACTACTACTACTACTACTACTACCGAGGGTATAGCTGCTGTGTGGCTGGTTATCGGTATACCTCTGCGTGCTGTGAGCAGATCAGCTGCGCATTGTGCGGCGTGGTGCGTGCGTGTGCTGCTGCCGTGTGTGGCTAGTAGACGACTGCTGGTGGCTGTGTGCGTGTGTTATATAGGTGTGCTACTAGCAGCAGCGAGCCAGACTTGAGTCACCGCAGCACGAGCTGTGAACAGCAGCAGCAGGAAGAGCCTCGGTATATGTTAAAGTTGTGCGTGCGTGCGTGCGTGCGTGCGTGCGTGCGTGCGTGCGTGCGTGCGTGCGTGCGTGCGTGCGTGCGTGCGTGCGTGCGTGTGTGTGTGTGTGTGTGTGCGTGTGTGTCCATGTGTTTGTGT